TAGGTCACCATAATAATGTCAAACTCAAAAATTCAACATATAAATTGTTTATTCAAACGAAATCACTTTCAAATATTTTATATTTGCATACAATAGAATGGAACATGACAATTAATTCATGAATTGTATGGTTGATACATGAATAAACTGTCAGTTCGTTGAAACAATTTGCAGATATCTAACCAACCACAACATAACAACAATTGATATTGGGTAATTAATTAATCAAACCGGAAGTAAATTTTCCATTATATAAACGAAGCTGTGCACGGGCAGAATATGAAGTAACTCGTAAACTAAACAGCAGTTATTATCAACTATGTCTTCTCATGGGGGTAAGTGAATTATACCTTTTTAAAATTACGCTTTAACTCATACTATTGTAATGATTATGCTGAGTTACTTGAGTAGTAATAAAGTTTGTTAGTATACTGAGTCTAATTGTCTAACAGTTTAGTGTAAAACCGCGGTATTGGGAAATATAGAATTGATTTCCAGTGGCCGAAACACATGACATTTGCAGATGGTTCGTTTTGAATGATGAACTGGTAGAGATTTAGCACGTTAGTAGTCGAAATATCTGGATCGAGTATCAACGACATGTCATACCATTGAATGAGGTTGAAGTAGTATTATGCATTTGGATGATTTGGTTGTATCTATTTAATCATCAAAATCTACTAGCACATGCAAAACCAACTGTTTGCTGTTGTTTATACCCGGTAAATAAGTACTGTTGCAAAGTCTTCATCACGTTAAATACACTCATTATATTCAACAATTTCGTCTAACATTTGACTTTGCAGTAAACTATATCTGTTTCTTTCACAAATTTATTCAACCAAAAACAACTATTTTTATGAAAACGGGTGAATTATTTATCACAGATGGAATCCATAAGCAATGGTGGCTCATTTCAGAGCCAAACATTGACTTAACAACATTCAATGTAGTTTTCAGTCCAAATCTTATTCTATATCAAAATAATACGTAATTACATAACAGGTTTGGCTCATCACATATCACATGAGCTTTCTTGACACTGACCACTTTGATTGTCATAAACTTGCCTCTCCAGACACAAAAACTCTTCATACGGTTTCAGCCAAACGCATTTATGCAGAAGTATCTTCATTGACAGGAGTCACTGCACGAACCACTAGTTCCACTCATTACTATGGCTAACAACGAAGATGGCTTTTACTTATCAAGTCATATTTCACATGATAAGTGCTTGCGAAGATTTCGTGTCAATATTCAGAGGTGGATAGTACACACTTTTGTATTCTCCTGAAGACGGATATACGCCTTTGACAAATTGTTGACATTTCCGTTGGAATATAATTCTACCGACCATTACTTCAAACGCCTGACATTTTAACCGAGAAAATCTGTAGTATGAATTCCGTTTTACAAAGCTCGAATCTATATTGCCCAGAGATAAACTCCTTCGATAATTCAACGATGCACTTCAAAATATTCGAGGTGTGTTATTTCTGAGATGCAAATACACTTCCCAGTGAATTCTAACGAAGCACTAGTTCTACACGCAAGACTTTCAGCTAATCACCTCCATTATACGATACCCAATACGTAATGTTTGTAAGTTAATTAAAGGAATTGACCCCCTAATACACAGTATATGATAGTAACTAAGCAAAAGATTTCGACAGTTATTATTGATCGAAGTGGTAAGAGTCATTTGAAAAGGCTACATCTTCTGCACACCGAAATTGTATTATCCATGTGCAGTCACCACCTATGGTTCCTCATGGATGAACTGAACTCTTTAACCATTTGATTGCTAAACTAATTCATCTAAACAACTCATCGGATTCTGCAGTTCAGTATGTTTTAGACACATCTGCTCACCTTACTAAACTAGCTAAGAGCTCACGGTCAAAGTTCCATTTGTTGTGTCACCACTCATGAGGGATGCCTCTTTCATACACTCAATATCCAGTCTAGTACTAGTCTCACACTCACTCACTCAGCCAAATAAACTATTCGTCCTTCATACTACCGTCCTTGGATCTATTAACCAAACGTATGGTTAACGTACATCATTTGAGTACAACGCTCAGAACACTTGTACCAGCATCACCCAGTTCTGAAGTATACAGTTATCTTCATTGACCTCTAATGTTGTCTAGAATGAACCACAAAATGTGCGTTGGATATTTGCAAGCAGTCACCACATTCCAAATTGCTTTACAAGAATAGTCAGCAGAAACCAACTAGCAATTAGAATGTTAGCAATGCCTAGTGATCACCATGTCTACTACTGTTCCACTGGAATGTCATATATTCAACTCATGTGTTAAACAATCATATCAAAACTTATAGATGTCTCTCGTGTAAACTACATAGTTTAAGTTCACACATTACACAAAGCCTAATTATTTGACGTCTATAAATAATGACTTCACATTATCTTAGTATGAAATGCTTTCAACAGATTGTATACACAATCAATGTCAGTGGTTAATTTCTTGACAACACGAACCAGTAATGTACCTAGGCATGACTATCAATATGACATGACAAACAATCTTGACTGTTGTTTAAGGTTTCAGGGTTATGTGTGAGTTTGGGTTAACGTTTATTTCCGTTCGTGCGTTTTACTAAATTTGTGCTTCAAGCATAATGCAGTGACGTACGAACATTAGTAAACATAATTATTCAAAAATAAAATATTTATTACCAAATGAGTATGCAATAAGCCATGACTGATCTTTAATTATAAAGAGCCGGTTTTTTGTTTTTAACTCACACACAAAAAATCAAATGTATGGCTCATCCACACAGTAGACTTGATTAATTGGATTTCTTCATATTCTTCACTTCAGCTGACCATCATCACGAACATCATGAAGAAGCCGGTCATGGTCATGACAACAAAGAGCATGGCAAATCGTCTGAACACTGTGTGAAAGACTGCCACAACAAAGAGGGTGCTGGTCATGGATCTCATGACAAGCCACAACATTGTGGAACTGGTTGTCATAAACCAGGATCTGGAAAAGATCACGGTGGTCACTAAACACATGTATCAGAAATTCCTAGATAGTTCATAAACTTATTTCTTAAAAATAATTAACACAAAGTAACTACAGACATTTTATTGACTATTAAATTTTAAATATACATTTTTAATGCCTGTACACTTTTTGCTTTTATGTAACATTAATTATTCTGTCTAATCCACTGTTTTATTAAAGTTATACTCACATTAAGTAGAATCTTCCGTAGTAATAATTCTCTCTTGAAGAATCCCAAATCCATTATAGTCGTCACACAGTTGGTGTTACATCCAGTCGAATTTTCCGATCTGGGTCAGTCAGAAAAATTGACTTCAAATGCATACGGTACACATGATTCGAAATATCAAGTGAATGACTATTACAACAAGGTCTGTACATGTTGTCTACTTTATTGTGAGCTGCATGTTCAATATTATTTCACTGTCTTAATGGTTAAACTTTTAAGTACAAAAACTGTGATGAGTAGATGCAGTAGTACCGAATTCGGTAATATGAACTGGTAATTCCTAGAACTGTCCAATACGTAATCTAGTGACCACAAATCCACCAACACTCAAGTAATAGAGAATACAGTGAGCAGAATTGAAGGTATAACCTCGTAATTTCAAACAGACGCGTAACAATTTACAAAACATTTATTACTTAGCACGAACACCACAGAATACATTAACGTATGCTTTCCCACACCAACCAGTGTCTTCGTTTCTGTCCTCCAAATAAAATCATACACTTTCAACAAGCTATAAAAATGAGAATCCACCAAAAGTAGCTTCAAACTATATATACATGTCTGAAGTAGGAGAGAAGCCTCGAAGTAGTCACATCGAAATGTCACAATTCTCTGTTATTTTCAGTTTTGTGGGCTTACGTAAAACAATCGACAATCTGTAACGTTTGACAATAAGCCTTAAAATTAATTGCAATGGCGAGCATGTTGTTATTTTCCTTCAAATCAGCATCCTACTCCATACTTTGCTTTGCTTCCTAATAATTTCTTAACATTGCTTCACCTCCTTACTATTCGTCATGATGATTTTGTCCAATACGTTTTAGCTTTGTATGTCTACTCTTACAGCCCTAATGCGAAGTGTAATAATCACTGCATAATTGAGTTGAGTGATGATATTTATTGTTCACTAACGAAAAATCACCATTAAAAACTAATGTGGCACCCCTTCATATGACTTAATCCGACACTTTCAGGAATACATAGTTTTTGTTTGCTAGATTGTAGAATGAATATTAAGGTATTGCAGAATGACCGAAAAGTACAGTTACATTGGCAGCTGATCAAAAGATTTCTAGTCTTAAAGTGAAATCAATGTGGAAAATGTTCGTTGAAATTGTGTTGAATGATTACATTTGCAATCACAACGATGATACGCAATCGATTTACAACTCATAAGGAGTTATCTAATTAGAAAGGGAAATTACAGAATCGACTATCGCTTTCCCGTTCCCAGCCGGAATGTTTCACAGGTTCTCAAGTAAACAGTCAATAGAATAAATCCACTGGGGAGTTCTATAGAACGAATATGTGGCTAATAAATACCCATACAGTTATCAACAAAGATTGTATTAGCCTATTTCTGGACAACTGAAAGACATACAAGATTAATCAAATCAAAAACATTCTACCTAGTGTAAAGTGAAAAAATATCCATCACGGGTAGGAAGCGTAGAGAAGAACCAACACGTTCGAGTGTAAACCAACAAGAAAACATGGCAATTGATGTATTTTTTCCTCAATTGTAAAGTGCAATTAATTGGAAGGCTGGATTCAGTTATTCAGTCATTTGAGCCATGGATGTAGTATCCATATAATCTGATGATTTGAGATACGTAGGTTTGAGATATGACAATCAAGTACATTTATTTGCAAGGTAAAAACCTGGATAAGCCAATCAAATATGTGCGAATGGTATAAGTCCACATCGGTAAACGTAAATCAGCAGTTCATGTAGCCCCAAACTCTGTCATCCATTTCTCATACCGTTCAACATCACTGGCTGAAACAGATCTGCACACACGACCGACTGCTTCTTCGAAATCAGCCATTCGTGTCGGTTGATTAAGTGTTGCAGTATTAAGACCTTTAATTTGCTCTACTGAGAGTCCTTCTATAGCTCGTCGCATAGACATCATTGAAGCATCTCTAGGATAATCAAAAATATATCACTATAAAATCGGGCGGGATATTATGTGAGTAGGAAAATATTACTGATACATTAACTTGAAAATTGCAACAAATATGACATTTACAAAACTCCAACAATGACGAGTGAGAATTAATAAAACGAATTTGAATTTTAAAAGGACAAGATCTAGTGACTCTGAATTACCAGTTAGTGGAAAAAACGGTCAGGTGCAACGAGCAGAACGAAGTTATAGTTTATTTGTTTGTGATGACAACTGAGATAGGTTATGACATGCACAAACGCGTGTTTCCTCTATTGTAAAACTACACTATAACAGTGATTGATAACAGATAAAAACTTTCAGTTCAAAGCTTTTCATTGATTCCTCTTCACAATACACTTGATATGTTAACTGGGAAAACAGTAAGTTTCTCAATCAGTGTTAGTGTTGAGTAGACAACATAGTAACTATATTCAGGCTCATGGAATAGGCTGTGAACGACCCCATCTATTCTTTAAAATATGATAGACGGAACCAACGCATACCATGAGTTCACAGTTGAAAGTTATGTGTGACGAAAGTACCTAGTTGTACATAGGAAGTAACTGAAGAACTCATCAAATCCTCCACATAATAGATTGAGGCCGATATCAGTACCGTACTCTATCTCCAGCTTTCAGTCCAATAAACTAAACAACACAGAGCACAAGGTTCTAATACCGCATTCAAGGCACCCAGAACTAGAAGTACAAACTTTCACCTTTTTTGACAATAGTCACAAAATGTTTTTGTTTGAAGGTAACATAGATAGATAACATAGAAACGGAGACTGGAATTAAAAGTCAACGAAATGCACGAAATTTATTATCTAACGATTTTCAGATTCATGAATCTTGACGCAACGCTTTTAGAAGACTTTGTTTATCCACATATTTTTATTTGTCTCGAAGATACTTTACCTCACAGACTGAAGTCAAGTTGAGAAGTAAGGGGTATTTCTTTTATCTTAGTTTGAAACGCGCACCAATTATGCTTTATGCGATCGAACCTAGAAACTTCATGTCCGATGGTAAAAATGATATCATTCAACCGCGAACTCGGCATCCAATAAAAATCCCTCATAACTTCTATGGATTAACAATATAGTGTAATCACTGTTGCAAACATTAAGGATAGGTTGCTGCTTTTCTTTTAACTCTGTCTGAGAATCTTGTTTTCGAACCTTCGAAAAATGCCTCTATAAAAACATCACGTCCTCAAGAGTAAGTTGCTCAGAGTTTTAGCGAGAAATCGTGAGCTAAGGAGTCAACCAAGTAGAAAGTATCGTATCCGAGAACGGTTCCTCGAAACCGAAAAACGACTCAAGATGAAAATGATTCCAAACATGATTCCAAACCAATAAATCAATAGCACTGTATTCACTGTGAAAATTGAAACCGTTAGGAACGATCCTGTGTTGATGCTGAAGATATATAGCTCAAAGGAATGTTTTTGGTGTTTGTTTCGATGGTATGTAATGCTGATGAATTTTAAACGAGAGCAAAACAACAGTATATCTCTATTTCATTAATGAGTTTTGTTATTTGGTTTCATTTGTTACAAGATTTAACCTTCTCAGTTCGGAATGTGGAAAACGTTTGGAGTGTCTACTGTTGAGTTTCAAGCTAAGACAAATTAAAATATGACCATTCCCCTTCACTTTAAAGCTGAAGATAACAAATTAACTTCAAATTAAACCATACCCCTATAGTCAATTATAAATTATTGGTGATATTATCTTTGAAATTCAAAAGTAACAAATAAACAAAAATTGAAACTATTTATATACCTGCATACATTCGTTATGTCTGCACCGGAATAACCATCTAATTGTTCAGCTATACTGTCTAAATCTACATCTTCTGCTAAAGGAACGTCTTTCAAGTTGATTTGCAGCAGAGTTTTGCGTGCAGTCACTAAGGTAAATCAAAATCAAGACGACATAGATTAGGAAGAATCTCAACAGATCATTGAGTCAATGAGATTTATTTTTATGAATTCTGTTGAATAAACAAAACATGGCAGTTCAAAAGTATAAAATCATTTAAATAACTAATGTGCGATTAGATTATTCTCGTCATTTCTCCTATTCAACAAATGTCAATTAAATAACGTGGTTCACTTCAAGAAACTAAACGTTGCAGTCTATTAACCAATTACAACTTTACGCGGTGATAATCAGTACCATTCAATAATAAATGGGATGTGGAAAACCAAAATGAACTTCAGTGATTAAAGTATTTAATACACTTTCCATGGTACAAATGTGATATCTACCATTAGTAAACACATATAAAGTCGTAGTTATCTCGGTTTTTTGACGTATCTGACTACTTTTATCATGCATTACTTAATAATAACAACTTTATACATACAGGATCTATGACCATTAAGACGTCTATTCTGTCAGTAATTCTGTACTAGTAAACGATATCAACTGGAATCATGTATTTTTTTATACATCTTATGCCTGATACTATTACTAACTCTATGAAAAATATTCATATTAACTCGAATTATTTGTTACCACTTTATGTTTACTCACTTTACAATGCCCGTAAATTTATTTATTTACTTGAACGCAGAAATATTGGTACACGGATATACCAAATACATATGCGATACACAATAACAATGAGGTTAGTAGCAGTTATCATTGATTTGTGTGAGGGTTATAATGCTGTCAGTCAGTCAGACAGTAACAACGTAGAACTTCGTACGTACGTACATCAGTTCGAGTTGCCACACCACATTAGCACAGAGATGCCGTGGTCGATTCAAATCCCGTAGTGGTAGAGGTAATAAGAGTATAAGCAGTAATCGGAAAGATTAGTGTTTGGAGATGTTACTTAAAAAGTATAATACAGTGAAATAAATTTTGGAAGAGAAAAAAAAACAAGTAGGAATCAGGAGATTAAAATTTGGGAGAACACAAAGAGTGGATGCACCTGCGCCATTGCAAACGATTTTGAGTCATGTCATTCAAGGTCTCTAACCATTGGTTGCTATCATCTCGCAGTCCCCAACCAGGTAGTCTACACCTACCGACATGACTCAGTCCACTTGTCAGTGACTTCATGGACTTGTGCCATGTTTTGGTCTGGCTGCCCATGCGCCCACACCGAAGCACGTAGTTTTTCTTAGGGAGCCCCACTTGGAGCCTTCGACCTAAAGGTCTGATCCACAAGGCAGTGGAGCAATGTCAGGAGATGCAGTCCCATGGTAGCCCAAAACAAATAATTGGTTCATACGACATTTGTTCTCTCAGGATGTTGGAGCCCATGTGCACCATTGGTTTGAAACCAGGGTTTATTAAGTCCGTTAGGTGGGTCTTACATATCCACCAACCTTGTTAAAGTGCCGGACATTCGCTTTTCGTCCTCTTAAATTCGTAAACAACAGTAATGCCGCGAGGAGGTAGTGAGTAGGACTTCCCTGGTAGTGGCTGTATATGCATGATCGTGTAAGAGCATTTTGAGAGGGAGAGAGAACTCTCACCACCCTCAACTGTACTAGAGCATTTGGAAGATAGTCATTTATGACAATATATTCTTACTATTATGATTACTATACCTATTAATCAAACAGTTTGTAAAATACTTAGTAAATAGATTTACTGAAAAAGTAACAAACATGGAAACGAACTGTATGTAAATTTTAAAGTCATGTATTTTAATATAGCAGTTGATATAGATACCATTAATTCGTAGAAAGTACTCACTGCTTATTGAGTTAATTTTAAGTCTTTATGATCAAGATTACATACACAAACTTTCACTTTATATAACTTTATAGAACAGAACTATTAGATTGACTACTATTTTCAGATTTGTTGACATGTAATTATCGAACATTTAAAACTGTACATTCCACCTCAGGGTATGGCATCCCAATGTCTTTGCCAAGATATTTTAGAAAATGGGATTTACCAAAGGTTGAGCCTTTTCAAAATGTCACATAATACACTTAAAATATACCCGTGTATAACATTTGTTAGCTTTCCCATTTATATCGATTCCAATAAGACTAGCTTTTAGAAAGTATCTATCACTTGGAAACATTTGAAAATGACAAGGTATATATTAATTTAGCGCGAACATTATACTGTCAGAACAGATTTATTGTAAGATGATCACAATTGATAGGACAATATTCAGTTGATAAAAATATAAACTGTCAGAACATTAGATAACATGTCAAAGTCTAGAAGATAGGTAGAATGGGAAAAAGTGAATATAGATAGAAATAAATGCAATTTTAATGTAACAGACTCTAAACAGAACCTGACCAAGTTGTAAAGAATGCTGAAAATGAATTACCCACGAAATTCGAAAAACCTAATATTGTAAGGCAAATACTTCACACAAATATCATACCATTTGGAAGTGGTATGTATACTCGTTTCTCGAGACGTCTACGCAAAGCTTCGTCAATGTCCCAAGGGAAATTCGTAGCAGCAAGGACCATAACAGATTTTGTAGGATCCTCTTCTTGTCCTGTAGCTCCTGTTACTCCTTGAGAAGTAAAGATAACTTTAAGTACAGGAAATACTTAAAGTAATACAACAAATATATGCTCATTTATATAACTATCATACGAAATGAGATTAAGCGCCTGAAGACAACAAAATTGGTTAAAATGAAATTCTTAACTTCTATATGGGTTCAAAGCTTAGTGATTAAAATTTAAAAGCGATAGCTTCGATGAATGACAACCATCTACTAACACTAAGATGGCTAAATTTATCTCGAATATCTCAGCGTCGATACATTAATTTCTAAGTAGTCGTAAGATGTTCTATATACAATTTTAGAATACAATTACTGTTATAATTACCATTGGTGTTGAAGAACTAATATTGCAGTGCTCCACACTTCGATTTCAACAAACACTGGTGTTACCGAGATAAAGATTGAACTGAAGCATGTTCCGTGCAGGACTATATCGGGGTACGCTATTGTCTATTTCTCAAGCAATCAGTGATGGTGGATACTCCAGAATCTTCTTGTGTGAAAATCACAAATATTCTAACTTTTTTATTGCGATTCCTATTTTCATCCAACATTTTTATTCGGAGTATAATTACGTTCCTGTTCAACCATGTTCTGATTTGGAGACTTGTCGAGTGAAATAATGTCCGAGAATACTAAGCAATGGCAGCAGCTTAGTCGTAATAGAAGAAATTGTAACAACTGGTATTCAATATCAAACATTATTGATAATATAAAATAATCATAATTAATGAGAGAATATTCGCAATATAAAGTAATAGACTTACACTAAGATAAGCATTATGTCAGACTAGTGACCTTATGATCCCACGAACTATATATAGTACACGAAAACGTTAGTTGATACCAAAGAGAATTGTGTTTTGGATCGTTTATTATGTTAACTTACATTTACACATTAAGTGACAAAATAAACGTAAATCATTTAAATAAAAGTCTTTTGAATTCACAACAAACACAAAAGATCACATAAGGATCCTGTTTCAGTCGTTATCGGTTACTCCCCACTTCAGATTTTAGGAAATAAGTTCAGTATACTTTCCACACATTTAGTCATTATTGATTGCATAATACAAGAGTTTTAACTAAGTACCGTGAATTTGGACAAAACGTAAACGTCTGCTAAAATATTTGTACGTGGTTTAATCTTTCTAATAGCATAACTTTAAAAGAAGCTCTTCGACATTTTCTGGAACTCAATTTTTAAATTAATCGAATAAAATGTCATCCTAACAGGATTTAACCCTATAATCATAAGGATGATTAAGTGTGAAGAAACATCAGGATTACGAATTCCCCATATAGATTTTTAAAGCTACCCAGGTGTTTTAGTAAAAGTTATTCTGCATACGAGCTAAGAAGCATGGGGCAACTCGGAATAAAAAATGATGGAATTTGGACAAAAGCAAATTAAGTGCATACGCCAACGTAATCAAGACGTGTAAATTGAGTCCAGAAAATATAACCAACCATCATATTCATTATTTAAAAACTACTAGTTATTTGAAAGGGCTAAACACAAATTTAAATCCTTTGAGAATTAGAAAAAAACTTAGAAAAAGATTTTCCTGTCAATTAAATCAAAGCATACCATCCATTTGCACTAAAAGTTCAGATTTAACACGCCGAGAACTTTCATGTTCTGATTCACCACCACGTCGAGAACAGATTGAATCGATTTCATCCATGAATATTGTGCTCGGTGCGTAGAAACGTGCCATGTCAAATAAAAGACGGACTAATTTTTCTGATTCACCTCTCCATTTACTTGTTAGACTAGAACTGGAAACATTGAAAAATGTGGTGCCACATTCTGTTGCAACAGCTTTAGCTAATAATGTTTTGCCCGTACCAGGCGGACCAACCATTAATACCCCCTAAAAGGAAATGAGAAACGAAAATACAAATATTAAGATTCAGAAATCCAATAAAACAATAGTTTTTGTTAAAGATAAAGATAAAAGTCAATTTAAATGATGCTGCTTATTAATAGCATAAATCAAACCACCACTCGGAAGTTATTACATTATATTCCATTATGATTCACATAGTCAACTTTGAACTATGCTATATATGTGGGGGATGGTGATATATTAGAAAACACACTAAACAACTTACTTTCCATGGTCTACGTATTCCCTTAAAGAAACCCGGAATAACCATTGGGAGAACTACAGCTTCTTGAAGTAAACGTTTTGCATCATCTAGTGCAGCTATATCATCCCATCGAACATTTGGATTACGTTGAACAATATCGCGTTCTAGTGTTTCCACAAGATCTTTGTCGTATCCACTAGCATCAAATTTCTCTTCATTGTTATTGTTAGCAGTGGTAGTAGCATCCCCAGTAGGTTGAGATCCAGATTTGACACGACGATTATTTGCTAAATAAAGTCAATAAAATAAACTACAAATAACCTAAAGGCAAGATTTGTTTGAGATAAATGGCTACTTTTTATCACCCAGTTGAATAGGTTGTCAAACGATGCGGAAAACTTAGTACAAAACTTAAACAATAACTATAAATAAGCGTTTAGACATAATCGTGTACACAGAGATATAATGTTTTTATTAGGCTTGAGAAATAAACAAACGATTTCCCGGTAACCCCAATTGAACATTGTGAATGAAAGTGAAAACTACTTATTCATATTATTACGAAATGTCTTGGTGATATCCAATTATCCCCTACCTCCAGGGTTTATTTTAGTTTAAATCGAGGTGAAACATAATACGCTTACAAACCAGAGGACAACAATAGTTCATTAAAATTTTAATTTTTCATAAGATACAATGGTAAAAATTTAGAGGGCGTTATATCTATAATTACTGTATTTGCACTGTTTTCTTATTCCTTACGTTTATTAACGATTTATGGATAGTATTGCTTCAAAACAATACTTTGCTCTGAACTAACTTTTCACCATCACTCTTGGTGCCATAAAACGTGAAGAATAAAAGATTAAATATAAGTATATTTGTTCCACAAACTTGCAACATCATGGTAAAAATGTCAAACTAAAAATCACTATTCAAATGTATATAACTCAAAAAGGTTTAAGAAAACAAGAGAACATGAAATGTGGATAAGAAAGCAGAAACGTTACCAGAGGTTTGAGTGGTACCCTTAGATCGAGGATTCGTCGGACTAGGTCTGACATTGCGACGAAATGATCCCGCAGTATTATTAGATGACTTGGAGCTAATGGATGGAGGAGGGGGAGCTGGAGCATGAGCAACAGGTGGCCTATAATAAGAGCTAGAAACTGAATTTGGCTGAATATTTGATCCAGCGTTTTGAGAACTATTCCCATGTCTTCGTTCGAGAGGAGGGGGAGGTGGCCAAACATCTGGGTCTCTGGTTGGCTCTTCAACAGTTGAACGGGAATTATAGCGACTGGCAAAAGCACTCAAACCCGAGTCATCATCAGATATTTTGAAACTAGATAACGTTTGGTTGACATCTTTAACCAGTTCATATTCATCTATAAGCTCTTGCCGTACCTACGACAAACAAAAACAGCTAGTAAGAAGTGTATCGACTAAATGAACTAAACAGTAAACACTCAACGAATATATAAGGTCTCGTGGTCAGGAATAAAGACCAACAGTTGGCTAAAATATACTTAGAATACATGTCTTTAAGAAATTGTAACATAAATATTGCACCGTAGTCCTAATATCTCCAGGTGTGAAAAAATGAGATGTTTCACGGACTGAAACGATCAAATAACTCAATCCATAATTTCAATGTAACCCATCCACCAATTGCAGTTGTGTGAACTCATTTACAAGCAATTTCTATGTAACGGATACTGATACGACCTGATGGAACGATGGCTTAACAGTTGAAGCGGTCGAGCAGCATGCCACAAGTCCGAAACCTGCATCATCTGTTTCAGTTTTGGTAACGAGAATATCACTAGCTTTTACAATATACAAAATATTAATCAAACATCGGTAGACAACAAAACTTACAGTTTGCCATTGTTGTTTTCGGTTTGCTTCAGAAATTGAAACAGTGAACTTCTTAAGTTGAGCAAGACCAACAGAATAATACGTTAACGAACTTTCATAGTTCCCAAGCAAAGCCAGTTCTCGTGCTTGCTTTACATTCTCAACTATTTCACTCAAAGACATGATAAAAAAATTGGAAAATCGCGCAGAACTAGTGTCGACAGATAACAAACAAATGGAATGGAAATAAATCCATGACAAAGTAGTCTTTTGTGGAACAAATGAACTAGAAAATATGGAAGATAAAGAAATAATGTCAAAATTAAGGTATGAAACTATTAAGTGGTTTAATCAAGGGATAGTGTTACATAAAACAGAAGAACCGAGTACATAAATTAGTACCGACATTCACAGACACAGATTGGTCAAGACCCATTTCAATATATTCGAAGCGCTACTCGCGTGTTGTGGAGAAAGGTAAGGAGCAACACTGAGGTTAGATCTACTTGGGCACTAAGCAAAAGTGGAAAATAGGCTTATGAGGTTTCGAATTTTTTGACAAACGAGTGTGATGTATCTCTTTTGACTAACTACAGCTTACCTTGGCCTTGTTATCTTATATCTGATTTTCTACCTACAAACTAATTCTATATTTCTGTATCGTAACCTTATACACAACCCTTCTTTTATATATTATTATAAAGTGAAAAAGAACACCAGTGGGAAGAATCGAATGTACTTAACACAAAATTACAGGACTTGTCAATAAAATCTAACAATCATAAAGTAAATGCTTAATTTGCAAAATGTCCATCAATATTCTCAAAATGAATGACTTCATTGTTCTTGCATTTCCATACAAATTGCATTGTTTCCATTCTTTACTATTCGATTCTCTTGTGTCTCTGCTGCCAGACCTTCTGTTCACGACTGATATCAAATACTACTTATGTCAATATAAGCAGCACACACCACATAACTACTTCATGAATTTGTTGTTTATCTTGTGCTTATGAGGTGTGGCAACTTGGACCAATGTCTGGTCCTTGTAGCTGACTGACTGATATTTGATTTGTTCGTCGATAAATTATAGACTTGTCCCATTATTACTCAACTTGTTAGTTAAATCCTATTGTGTTAATTATATACGGAGACTTAGGCTAACACATTTTATTTCACCATTGACACTGATTGTAAAGACAATAATTTTTTGCGATAAATTCCGGATTTAGGGAACATGAAAATAACTGCCTAGCTGACAACTAAAACTGATATACCATTAAATGGACTAGAACGTAACTAAACATTAGAATCTTGACCATATGAACTTCAAAAAATTGGACGTTACAAACACTAAAACTTAAATGGCACAACGAAAAGGATTTTTTCTAAACAGTTTTTACTACTGAATAGGGATGAAATGGGAAATATCAAACTTAAATTAACACTGAATAGATATGACAGCATGTGAATATCAATAATGATAGTATATGAAAACATTCCGAATGGCACCTTAGGGTCCTTATGAGCATACAGTATGGACTGAAAATTTAAAGCCAAGTTGAAAAGCTTCATTGGGAAACGTCATCCATTTTGGTTGATGAATATTTCAAGGTTACTTGAGTGTTAATTACTTCAGAATCAGTATTTCCACTGTACAAAAATACATATGTGTGCAGAAATTCGTGCATGGATTTTTAATAAGACTACCCAAGCTCCGAACTCTAAGGAAATCCCAAATGTTTGAAAAATTTTGGGGGGAATTCTCAAAGTTGAGTAACCTTCCCCAAAGTTTAGGGAAATTTTGGGGTAAATCACCAAAACATGCGTTGCGCATTATTCCAGAATAACATTTCATCACCATTATATTATCAAACCTTTGAATATTAGATTGCAATTAAGAGATGTTAATTTTAATAAAACAATGACTTTTGTTCAGGAATAGTTTATCGAATTTAAGGTTTTCTTTTAGTACGTTAAAAGATACGAGACAATGAATATAAGTAAAACTATACTTATACTTTTTATGGTTATTTACCAGTTCTAATAGTGTTTATGTGCAGAATCATTTAAAGATCTATTGTTTTATTTTATGGAAGAATGGTCTGAGCAAAGCTCACTTTAAACACTAAATACTAGAAACTCAAGAACTACATATGGGAATCATGTCTGAATAAAGGAGTATGGTAACTGAGACTCCAAATCTCCACCTTAAGATATTTACCACTCGTAGCTTTAGATCCTATAACTTTCTGGTATGAACTTACGGTGAAACTTAACTAATTTGTGTTTCTTTAGGATAACGAAAGAGCTTATTTACACATCCAACCTTGACAACTTATAATACCCGCTCAGTTAATTCAAAAACTGAATCAGATAATTATCAATGGAATGAGAACAACATACACTTACAGTCATGAAGCAAAAAACCCAAAAAATCAAAAGTGCGTAAATTATATGAAGTGGTTGATTATTGCTACATTTTGCCTGAAGTTGACTGTGTCATTTCAGTAAGAAAGCTTTATTTATGTACATGTAGCGGTAAATAAATCCCAAAAAGAAATAGCTCTGTAAGTTTTCAACATTGGATGCTGACCATATGTTTTAGTGGACTCATATAGCTGAAGGTGATCAGTCATGCATCCGCAACAGATCACATGTGGTGACGCTGTGCTCAACATCTTCCGCAATCGCTAGTTAGATTAGATCAGAGAATTCCGATATATTGGTAATCGTCAAATACGCTGTTCCGATCTCCTCGACTCTGTCTTTGAATTTTTCTTGGTGAGTAAAAATTATATTAGAAGGTGTTGCTGGTAAAAGCGTTGTCAAACACTGAATACCTGTGTCTTCTTCAGCATTATATCCATAATTCGTAATCAGTTTTCAATCGTACACAAAGGAATTATCAACTAGTATAAATACTACAATCGCCAAACTAAAATGTAAATCCGATTCAAAAACGAGGTATTTTTCATTTAATTCTTGGGTTAACAAAGTTGCAAAGCTCCAAGAATAATGTAGGTCAGATAAGTAGCGTTGCCTGAACGAACAATCTAAATGGAATATTGGATTGCTGGAAATTTATAGTCCAAACTCACTATGAATTTCTCGTATTCGTATTTTCTTTCCGACCACGGAACTTAAGAAACAGGCTAGCAGTGCTCATGTAAGAACAATATTCTCGGAACAGCTTGTTACGGAAAATTGTATGTAAAATGAGGCTATACGATGAATTTAAAATCTACAATTGATCTTGTCTTGCTCATTTAAGTGAATAAGTTACAGAAAGATGTGCGTTCGTGTTGCTTTGTGCTTTTGTTTACGAGTGGCCGATATTGTAACCGATGTATTACGCAGGAGCGATTCCGTATTGATAAGACTTCTTGAAGAACCATGATTATAACTGTAGTTGACTAGTATTTTATTAATTGATTGAACTAAATAGTTAAGTTTCAATATGAGTCGTCACTGATGTTAACCAGCGAGTAATAACAGTAATAACAAGCTTAAGCAGCAACAAAAAGGGAGAATAATAAGCATAGAATGTAATCACAAGGACAATCATGGATTGCGTCATACAAAGACTTACTTGACAGTGTCAATCACCAATGTAAATAGTCTGTGTCAAATAACTGCTGGCCTACTAGAGTTAGACGGGGATGGTGCGACCAGTAAGCTAACGTCAAAGTCACACCTCACGGTTAGTACTAAGTGCAGATTAACCTTTCGTTGTATCCAGATACTGTGGCATCATTGGTTGCTACCTAATCACCAGGTTACTTACGCATGTCACTCCTCGTGAAGGAGCATAGGCCGCTCACCAGAATTCGCCATCCGAACCTGTCCCGGGCAATCCTTTCCAGCTCCTTCCAGTTGTTATTCATCCTTTTCATATCTGCTTCTATTTCCCGAAGTAATGTGTTCTATGGCCTTCCTCTTTTCCGCTTCTCTTCAGGATTCAAAGTTAGGACATGCCTCGTGATGCAGTTTGATGATTTCAATAATGTATGTCTTATCCATTTCCATCGTCTTTTCCTAATCTCCTCTTCAGCTGAAAGCTGGTTTGTTCTCTCCCACAAAATGTTGTTGCTGATGGTATCCGGCAAATGGATGCTCAGCATCTTGTGCAGACAACTATTTATAAATACCTGTGTCTTCTTGATGGTGGTTGTTGTAGTTCTCCAAGTTTCAGCTCCATACAGTAGAACTGCCTTGACATTCGTATCGAAGATTCTGACTTTGATATTGGTTGAAAGATGTTTTGAGTTCCATATATTCTTCAATTGATGGAACACGGACCTTGTTTTGCTAATCCTCGCCTTTACGTCTGCATCTGAGCCTCCTTATTCATCGATGATGCTTCCCAGGTATGTGAAGGATTCTACGTCTTCCAGAGTTTCGCCATCAAGAGTGATTGGATTGCTATTCTCCGCCTTGAATTTGAGGACCTTGGTTTTCCCCTTGTGTATGTTGAGGCCTACTGATGCAGAGACTGTTGCTACACTGGCTGTCTTTATCTGCATTTGTTCGTGTGAACGTGATAGGAGGGCTAGATCATCTGCGAAGTCCAAATCGTCTAATCGATCCTGAGCTGTCCATTGTATGCCATGTTTCCTTTCAGATGTGGAGGTTTTCATAATCCATTTGACCACCAGAAGAAAGAGGGAGGGAGAGAGTAGACAGCCTTGTCTCACTCCGGTCCTTACTTGGAATGCATCTGTCAGCTGTCCTCCATGCACGACCTTGCACTGTAGTCCGTCGTATGAGTTCCGAATAATGTGGTCAATCTTGTCAGGAACTCTGTAGTGTCGAAGAAGTTTCCATATTGTTCTCCTTTCTACACTGTCAAATGCCTTTTCGTAATCAATGAAGTTGATGTATAGTGACGAGTTCCACTCAACTGATTGTCTGATGATGATCCGTAGTGTTGCGATTCGGTCTGTGCACGATCGATCCTTTCGAAATCCATCCCGTTGATCTCAAAGTTGACCGTCTACCGCATCTTTCATCCAGTTCAGCAACACTGTTAAAGACATTCCCTGGTATTGACAATAGTGTAATGCCTCTGTAGTTTTCACATTTACTCAGATCTCCTTTCTTTGAAATGTTGATGAAGTGTCCTGCTTCCAAGTCCCTCGGCACTTGTTCCTCCTCCCAAATCTTTTCGAATGGAAGGTGAAGCATGTTTGTAGTTACTTCGATGTCTGACTTCAGAGTTTCAGCTGGTATATTGTCTGGTCATGCTGCTTTCCCGCTCTTGATTTATCTGATGGCCATTCTGATTTCTTCCGTCGTTGGTGGATTGACATACATAGGAAGATGTGCTTGTGCTAATTCGATGTCCGGTGGGTTCATTGGAGCCGGATTATTCAGGAGTTCCTCGAAGTATTCTACCCATCTGTTCCGCTGTTGTTGAATTTCGGTGATTGGCTTGCCTTCCTTGTCTTTGACCGGCCTCTCTGGTTTACTGTATTTCCCTGTTAATTTCTTCGTTGTATCGTAAAGTTGTTTCATATTTCCTTCCCTTGCAGCTTTTTCCGCCGTCGTTGCTAGTTCTTCCACGTACTTCTTCTTTTCGGCTCTAATGCTTTTCTTCACTTGCTTGTTTGCTTCAATTTATTCAGCTTGTGCTTGGACTTTCTCTGCTCGTGTTCGGCTGTTCTTAATTGTTGTCTTCTTGTTCTTCCTTTCTTTGATCTTGCTCAGTGTTACTATAGAGATCCATTCCTTATGATGGTGTTTCTTTAAGCCCAGAACCTCTTGAGACGTTGAAGTCAATGCTTCCTTGATACTTTTCAAGTTGTTCTCCATATTAGTGTTTTCTTCCCTCAGTAGATTATGTGAGGCTTGGAACCTGTTGTTGAGAGCTATATTGAATTCATTGAGTTTTTCAGTGTCTCGATTAATGGCTGTATTGAACCTTTGTATTGCTGTTTGTTCAGTTGTCCAGTTTTTCTTTAGCTTCAGTTTTAAATTGGCAACAACTAAATGGTGATCTGAAGCTATATCAGCTCCTCTCCTGGTTCTCACATCTTCCATTGTTCTTCGGAATTTTTTATTGATGCAGATATGATCTATCTGGTTCTCTGTAGTGTGGTCCGGTAAAATACATGTAGCTTTTTTATTTTATTATTTTTATCATTAGAAGCATTTTTCAACATTATATTTTTGGTACAACATGGAATTCTCAGCATAAAGTATTTCAACAACTTTCCTTTTCTTATACCTTGATCGATTGTGACGATAAATTTCGAATGATGACCAGTTAGATGTTAGGAGTTCGGTAATCCGCATTTGATTACTGTTCATTCGTTTCATTACATATTGCCAGCCACCATGATGTCGCTGATTGTACCTTTAGTATCCCGTATAGCGAAAGGTTGTAAACTTTTCATAAACGCACCTGAATGGATTATGCGCACAATAGACATAATGATGTGCTAAAACAAACAACAATAGAGATAACTTGATGAAATATCTAGATCGGAGGAACAGGTAGCCCAGATATTCGGGCAGGCCGCCGGTATTTAGTTTTGTGTATACGTTTGTGTGGAAACATTGTGCCTCTTATGACCAATTTGTTGAATGCACAAATATTCGAGAATCTTCCCCATTTTCCTTTCTCTCCCCCAGTCAATCCATGTCGTCTCATGATATCTTCATATCCGGTGTTGTCTATTCCGAATTCGGTGTTTAGGTTTCCCATCAGAATGGTGAGGTCCTTTCTTGGGCACTTCTCTATGATTGACTGTAGCCGCTCGTAGAATCGGTCTTTAATGTCGTCGTTGCTATCATTGGATAATATTCATTGTGATCCCCTCCTGCTTTGTTTTGAATTATGCTTTGATGACTCTGGATTCGTGAGATTCCCATCCTACAAGTGCATTTCGTGCTACTTTGAACAGCATTAGAGCAACTCCCTGAGTGTGTGGAGCATTTTCCTTCTCGTGACCGGAGTACAGCAGCATCTCTCCCGTTTTTAACCTTTGTTGTCCAGCCTGGATCCATGGGGTTTCACTGATTCTCAGTACTGTCAAGTTGTATCCTATCATTTCCGTTGTTGTTTGACTGATCTGCCCGATCTCCCACATTGTCCGTACGTTCCATTTATCTATAAAAATTGTTGCTCTGTTTGTCAAAAGAGGCATCGGCCTCATGGCTTCCGAAGGGGCTCGTCTTTCACCATGAGGCGCCATGCTTCTTCTAGATGAAGACCTTCTGACTTCCAGGGCAGAGTTTAAATGGTTTGAATAATTTTTTCTGGTTATCGTTTTTT